TAATAATAGCAATAATAAGAGTAATAATAGTAATCATAATAAAAATAAAATTTTTAAAGACAAACACCTCAATTACCTATTTCATTTGTAATTGAAGGAGTTCTTAAAGTATTATATTTTCCAGCATTATTATTCCTCCAAAAACCTGAATTGCATAAGTATGTGAATTTAGGCAGTGTTCTAATTTGCCTAATGGGTCTTATAAGAATAAGAGGAATACCAAAAAAAGGGGAATATTAAGAATACTTTGCAAAAAGTCTCACAATTGAATTTGCAACTAATATCTTTTATATGATTGCTCTATTTGCCATAGATAATGTTGTATTTTAATTACCAATAGCCCTACACTTTTTGGTTGGAGCTGCTGAATTGTGGACATAATTAAGCTAAGATGAAGGTTTTACTTTAAGATTTGCTTACTATATAGTAAAAAATCGAGTTGAGATTTTAATTACAAAGTAAAAGATTGAAATATACTTGTTCTTCTATTCAGTAATTGGAGTATTTCTAAGAAAGACTTCCTTATTTTTAGGCGTTTTTATATTCTAAAATATATTGTTGAAAACTAAATGCAATTAAAAAATGATGATAGCTCAATCTAACATTAAGGATTGGTATAGAAGCAATTTACTTGAAAATTCCAAAGTTCCACAACCTTTACAGAAATTATTCGGAATCATCTGGATTGGATATGAAAAATTAATTACAATTTTTTGAATGTTGTTAAATTTAATCATAGGAAAATTTCATGGTTTTTCTTTTCTAGTGGTTTTAACTTCAACATTTTCTTCTTTAATTTTTTTTATTATTTAATAATCAACTAAACCTGCTGGCTATACTGACTTATAATCTCTAAATTATTCATATCAAGATTAGGAATTTACTTTTCATATCTTTATATAGTTCTTCAATCACTTTAATTTCCATCTCATTGTCATAGGAATTTCTCGTAAAATTCTCATAACCTTTAATATTGATTACAACAACAGAACCGTATGTATAATAATCCTCAATTTTGGGGTACCTGTCAATCTCCAAATATTCATAATCATTGAATTCGTCTTCATAAAATCTAATTTTGAAATGAATTTTGAGATTTAGCATGCATTAGATATTATGCCTATTAAATTTAACCTTCTCCATCCATATTGCAATGGATTTTAATTTGATATTTCTACTGCTTAATCTGCTTAATCAAAAATCAAGTTGTATTCACATTAAAAAAAGCATATTACAACCACTTTCAGAAGGAGTACTAAAATTATTTTTGGCTTAATTTAAAATTTCTTTTTTGATTTTATCTGTATCCAGTTTTTATTATTCGTATACTCTCTATTGCACCAAACATTCTAATCAAACCTTGTAGAGTCAAAATTTTCTCCTGTTCTTATTATGGGTACAACAGATCTTTGACCATTTTCATCCAAAAGTACTTCATTTTCATCATCGCTGAATACAATTTGTACTTTACACAAATAATCCGACACAAATTGATCCTCCTATGGAACTTCTAGTTATTTAAGCTTTTATTATACTAATACATTATTGAAATCTAGTTCTAGAAATGATTATAAATTTAATTAATTATTTACTCTTATTCTAGAAATGAACTAGAAAACATAAAATATAGATAATTATGAGAAAATAAAAAGCTCACACATTAATATTAATGTTTAGACCTTAATTAGATTACAGTTTGATGTTTTGTTTTGTTAAACTGACTTCACTAGTTATTTTTATTCAGTTTAATAATGAATGTGATACGGATTTGCTATTTGATTTGAAAATTATTAATTTTTTGCTAAATATATTTCAAATAATGGGAAATTGTCAATGTAGGAAATATTATGATTCCGAACAAGAATCTTCCAACAATAATCTTTAGGAAATAATCTTAGATATTAATCAGAAATAGGAGAAGGTGTAGGAATTGTTCATTAAAATTAAAACTTAGCGACAAGAATCTTTCTCTTTGTTTGATTATGAGAATTAGAATCATTAAAAGGAATCAATCTTAAAAGTATGAGGATTTATATTAATAAGATTAGAGAAGGAGGGTATTTAATCAAAAATAATAACGAGTTGTAATGGATAGATGAAGACATTGACTGGAATAAGTGTGTGATTAAATAGGAGCAAATACTTTTCAGAATTGAAAAAATTAATGGAGTTTTTACGATAATAAATCAAAAGGGAGAATGTAAATAACACTTAGAAGAGGACAAGCAAGAATTAACAACCAAGAACATTGGAGACAATAGAGAGTTTCAATAATCTGAGAACCTGGATTAGTTTGAAGGGAAAGAATTTGAATAATCATAGGAATTAATAAAAAAAATGAGTTATCAATATTAAAAGTCTTTC